CCTGTTTAATAAACCTGACATGCGGTTATGCCCAAGGACTTTGCATATGAAGATAAACACAAAAGGTAAAGGTGAGATATAAGGATGTATGGTGCCTCGTATATTTTACATGATATATATATATATATATATATATATATATATATATATTTAGGCAGTTTGATATTATAATAGACATATGGGTCTATGCATTATTTCCAGAATTATGCTGAAGGACAAGTTTAAAATATGACACTAATCAATTCAAGTATTCACTAGAGCTACGGTGACTGTAATTCTCTGGAACTTGTCAGTGGGACTCAGCAGGAAACCTCTACAGATTGAACCTTGCAGAGTAAAATTGTAAAAGATAAGTCAGGCTGGATATTGGAATAGGGAGGTGGGTTGTGACTAAAGCTACTTTAATTTATATGAAGTTTTAACTAACTCGTTGAAAAATAAATTTTCTACATTATTTCAGTAGGTGACCCGATCAATACTAATTATTAATACCAAGTTTGGGTACAGATTTAATAAGTATGTAATAAAAGTTACATTTTAAAACTTAATGTTCCACATGTAGCTTTCTTTTTGAGTTAAAGATTTTCAAATGATTTTATAATTTTGTGAAAACCTTTAAAATGGCTTAATATTTAAATATTTTGATATGTTTTGATAATGTTGATATGTTTTTTTGTATATGATATATGTTGTTATTTTAATTTTTTTAAAATAAATTTAAAAATGTAACCAAAAATATCAAATCATTGAATATATTATCCAAAAATATTAGATCTGGGCTTTGGTGAGAAATTTTCAATGTCCCAAACAAACTACAAAGATCTCTTATGAATATGGATGTGTTTGCATATGTAAATATATACAAGCCTGATCAAATGGTGGTTTGAAACCCAAAAGCAAAATAAATAAATAAGTATATAAAAAGAGTTATTGATTGATATCTTGATTGCAAGATATCAACTGTTCTGCAGAGGTCAGATACCATATAATATTAAACGTGCTTGTGAAATTCTCAAAACATGTTTCATTAATTTGATGATTTATTTATGTAGCAAGTATTTTATCAAAAACAGTACACTGAGAATTCTCCAGTTTTCAAGTAGGTTCTTGGGAGCACAAACAATACAATAGAGTTAAAAGGTTATATATTTAAGCAAATAAAAGTGAATTAATAAACAAAGAGAGTAGATTTTCTAGCTTGTTTTCATGATTATTCAACAGCTGCAAAAGGGTTATCGACCTTTTTCCTTCTGCTGTGTGGAATTCTAAGTAAAGTGTGGAAAGTGGGCGCTATGTTTCAGGAGATCCTTGAACCCATGAGTGAGCATTGTGCTCAGATGATACAAGAGCGTTCCAGGAAAGTGATCGTGAATCTAGCAGAAAAGATAAATGGAACACTTTAATATTGCACATTAGCAGTTTTAAGACTATTACTATCAAAATAATGAGAATAATAATAATAATGAATGTAATCATTTTCAAGAAAAATATGACTTAACAGAATAGACAATGTTGAGTTTACTGGGGTGAGTTTGTGACAGAAAAACATACACAACAACCCAATAGTTAATGTTTAGCATTAATCATGTGTTATTAAATCTTTTCAATTACTACTTAACAACGTGGAATGTAAGGATATGTCACATTATTTTCTTTTGTTAATATATACAGTATAATTGCAAGATTTCAGTTCAAAACCCACATGGTTAATTTAATTCAGGATATAATGGCACAAAGGACAGCTAGGTAGACAAAATTATTATTATTATTATTATTATTAGCATTGATTGAGTGCCTACATTTTCAGCAGTGCTTTATAATTATATAATCTGGATATTTAATAACAGCAGTTAACTGGCAGATAAAAATAATATTGATAGACGCAAGAGGTAAAAAAAAGGCTCGTGCGCAAATGCGCTTACGATTGAAAAGAAATCCTAAAAAAATAACTGCAGTTAAAAAAAAAGTGAAAATAGATGTCATACTTATAGTTTAATCCCCCCTCTAATAATATTGTAAAGAGTCACGGAATCTGTTGGCACTATATAAATGGCAATAATAATAATACCACTTGAAATAAATATCATATGAAGAATTTGCAAAAAGAAAAATGAATCAGTAGATATTTATCATGAGATCACACAATATTCTGAGAGTTTATTTTGTTGACACATCTGAGCAAAATTTACTGTTGCTCACTAAAATGTAGTGTTGACTTTCTTTATAATAAATGATGTCTAGTATCATGTACAAAATATCTGCTTATCTGTTAACAATCAGTCATTTATATGGTATTAAAATGTGCCTTCCACTGTAGAACTGGTAAAACAGCCCATGACGCCTCTGTTTTCTATCCACTATCCTAACACAACATCACTGTTATCATTGTGCACGTACAACACAGCAGAATAGTCCTCCATGGACAATTTAAAATAACTATTTTAGACCAATCAATAATTTTCTTGAGAAAAATTCCTTGATTTTATGGACTATCACCCCATCTGCCTGTCCTAAATTCAATGTGAGTTTATAGTGTGTAAACTAAGCACGAAAACTAAATAGAAGCAAGCCATGTTTAGAGAGGCTTTTTACATAGTTTTGGTTGCTAGGGAAACTGCTTTGTATGCCTGTCTTTAGAATGCCAGCAATAAAAATGTGCTTATTATCATACAGAAGGGGAAAGAACGCAACTACTGTCCACAATGATTAAGGCTGTCTTTGTAAACAGAGTTTTTCAAATATTAATTTCAGAAGTCAGCTAAGTAAATATTTCATTAAATGTTTTTTAGGAGGAGAAACTCCAGAATGTTTCTGTAATAGAAGTAGTTTTGATTTTTTTATTGAACAACTATCAATATGAGAAAGATAGTCATTTAAGTCAGTGACTGTTATGGGAGCAGCAGTCCATAACAGCTGGGGTGTTTTCCTATTCACATTTAGAGCTTATTTGATTCATAAGCACTCAGAGTTTTGTTTAGTTCATTGTCATTCCTCAAAGGAGATTATTGATAAAATCGCTTGGTATTTAGATTGAAGTTGATATACTGGCCTAGAAACACAAAGATCACTCCATATTAAATCAGCAGACATGTTTAAGTTATTCTAAATTTCATTATTATGTTATGCTAAAATAGTGTATTACATGTCACCCTAAGAAAAAGAAAATTGTAAATGGTTATTTTCTTCATATCTAAAGACAGAGGATTTCAAAGCCTTAAACATAATTAAAAGATTTTATAGACTGAACATAGTTGGGGAATAGCAGAGTATTAGCAAAACAGGTGGATCAAACAGAGGCTGGAGTATAAGTAGTTGAGGGGGTGAACATTAAAGATTCGGTTAACTATGTTGTCTTAATAGATTTTACTCTTGCATGGAATGTGTGCTATTAGTAGCACTCTATGGAACTGCTGATGGTAAAAGAGCTGCATACCTCCTATCATTAGGAGTTATTAGATCGGGGGTGGGAGGGTACAATACCAGTGGTTCAACTGGTGGACCAACACACCGATGGGGCATGTCATCCTGGCATGAAGCGCAACAGGATGGCCCCCCACATAGAAGAACGTGCAGAGAGAGAGAGTGCTGTATGGTCCGGACAATGCAAGCGTGCTTAAATTTCATGCAGGAGAGCTGAGAACAAAAACAGGATGGTGGGACCCTAAAATTGGGATTGTCCCACTATAGTCAAAACTGTTGGCAGGTCTGGATCTATGATTTCCATGCTGGCACTGTACTATAACAGAATGTATCGATGGCATGGTTTGTCATTGACCCTTAAAGAAATATTTCAAACTCTTAAAGAAGACGTATTAGCATAAAGAGAATGTCCTTTTATCTTAAATGAAAAGAAAAAATCCTTGAAGCAGGTATATTGGAAATGAGAACCCAAGTCATGATCAGATACAAACTCTCAAAAACCAGCCAAAGGCTTACCCATACAAAAAGTACTCATACTCATACTCAATATAAGGATATGAATTTACAATTGTTAAAAATAGTATTTAATGGTATTAGACTATTAATACTGATATGTCAACCAGTGATACAAAAAATAAAATGTGAAAAAGGTGTGCAAGTGCTGCAAATGATAGGGGTAAGAGCAGTTGAGCAAAGACGCTGCATTTAGGCTTTTTATTTTAACCTTCACAGGGGTCTTTATGGAGCCCAGTGGCGTACTAAGGGGGGGGTGGGAGGGGGCGGTCCGCCCCGGGTGCCACCAGGGTGGGGGGTGCCATGGCCAGCCCCGCCGCCCCCCCATGCTGCAGCCGCCCGAGCGCTCTGTAGAGAGCCTCAGGCGGCTGCAGCTTTGCCCGGACGGTGCGTCCATGAGGGCGGACCGCACCGCCCGGGCGCAGCATGGGGAGAGGGGCTGACAGGAGGGAAGCGCTCAGCGCTCCCTCCTGTCACTCCCTCTCTGTAGTAGCATGGCTGAGCCCAGTATAGTCGGCGGGTACAGGGAGCAGAGTGTGCACTTCCTGTTAGTCCGGCCGGGTACAGGAAACAGATGCTCCCTGTACCCGCGGACTATACAGGGCTCGGCCACGCTACAGCAAAGGTAGGGGGGAGGAGGGAGGGAGAAAGAGAAAGAGTGAGAAAGAGGAGAAAGAGGTGAAAGGAGGGTAGAAAGAGAGAAAAAAGAAAGAAGTGAGAAAAGAAGGAGAAAGGAGAAAAGGAGAGTGAGAAAAAAGAAAGAGAGGTGAGAAAAGAGAAATTAGGAGGGGAGAGAAATTAGGAGGGGGAAAGAGAAATTAGGGGGGAAAGAGAAATTAGGAGGGGGGTGTGAGAGAAATTAGGAGGGGGGAAAGAGAAATTAGGGGGGAGAGAAATTAGGAGGGGGGTGAGAGAGAAATTAGGAGGGGGAGAGAAATTGAAATTAGGAGGGGAGAGAAATTAGGAGGGGGTGAAAGAGAAATTGGGAGGAGGAAGGGAAGGAAATTGGAGCGGGAGGAGAGATTGACATTCATCACATACACACAATGCACCCCTTGCACACAGAAAAACACACAATGCATTACACACACAGACACACATACACAAGCAATGCAACCGTTACACACAATGCATCCCTTACACACACATAAACACACAATGCATTCATTACACACACTCAATGCACCCCTTACACACATTCAATGCATCCCATACATACACAGAAACACACCTTGCAGCCCTTACACATACAAACACAATTTCACACAATGCATTCCTTACACACATATCAGGACATCCCCTACACACTCCACCCCCTGTGAACAAACTCATTGGTGGAACATGAAGGTGGACCCTGGGACCCAGACCTTGAGCTGTGTAAAGGACCCCCAAAAAATGGAGCTGCTTCCCGTTCTCCCAGAACATTGATTTTTGTGACCACAGTTACAAACCGCCTCCAGAGAGCCTGTTCTGCACCAGACCAGTGGAGCCAGACTGCAGCTAGAGCCCATCATCATCCTCATCTGGTTGTAAGTAGGCAATCTAGTATATTATTCGTGGCACTAAGCTCTAATTTACCTCACATTAAAGAAACACTATAGTCCCCAGAACCACTTCAGCTTAATGTAGTGGTTCTGGTGTCTATAGCCTGTCCCTGCAGGCCTTTTAATGTAAACACGGCGGCACTGCAGCACTGGCTGTTATTATATCAGCACATATACCTTCCATAACATAGAATGGGTGTCTACAAGGCAAGAATTGTCAACAACTAAAAATGTAATTTAAAATAAGGAAAAGCTAAATAATAATAAAAAGCATAGCTTGGCTACTTTTGTCACTGAGTCCTGCCCATTTCTTAGGGTGAAGGGCGTCACATAAGCCACATCCCATGTGCTTGTGGTGGCTTGTCCCACACGCTAAAGTGATCCGTGCGTGGATAGAAAAGTGACAACCTTGGCTGCACTGGTAGCTTTTAGCAGCTTGCCTGCCTTGGTAACTATGAGTGATCTAGGTGTAGTCCAGCGGTACGATACTCCCACCTCTCAAAGTCGCTGTGTGATGAGTCTCATTGACTTCCAACAGAGTAAGGTGGAAAATGTGAAACTATTGGCTTCATATTTCAGTGGATACTTATTTTGAATAGCTACTAACAAAGTCTGTTTATCTTGCAGTATCCTGTAATGCAGTATGATATCTCTGGGGGCTGTAGTAGGTGCCCTAGGTGACTTTGTGATGTGGTATACCCCACCACTTGTGAATAGCTTAGTCGGTTTTGGTGGAAGCAGAGTGGTTACCATTTGCCTTATAAAATTGGGTAATTTATCTGTAACTTCTGAGTCTGATACTTAAACATGAGTGGTGACTGCTTGTACTTCGGTCTTCACCACCACTATACCAGCCGTGAACAGCTTTTGTATGTCAGCCAAGAGGTTATCAATGTACTGATTTTTTGCAGGTATCATACCTGCAGGGTTACTTGAGACAAGAGTCACTGGTATGTGCAGGTCTATTACAGAGTCTGCTTCATCCACATTCTCCTCTCTTGGGGGATTATAGGCTTCTAGATTGGCTCTAAGACCCTAGTCTAGGGTGTGCAGTAGATCAGTGTGCCAATATCACAAGAGTTTTACGTTGCATGCACCTGTAATTTCTGTGTCCACAGTCCCATGTCATCTGACTCCTAAAGCTGCCTATGCTTGGGATCAGGTTTAGACCAATCTGGGTCCCACCAGGCTGCAGTAGCACTCAACGCTCCTCTCGGGCTTCCCACATGACAGGTCTTTACAGATTGACATTTGTTTTTTATGCCCAGTGACAAAATTAAAGGCAGTTGTGTGGTGCTCTCAGGCTCCTGCAGCCAATGCCAGCCAGTGCAAATGCAAATGCACAGTAGGAATTAAGATATATGGCAATTTAGTATTGCAGACTTTGGAGCCTGAAAAGCTCATGTTGGGCTATCCCAAAGCTCATAGCTTGAGTGTTAGAGATGTTTAGTTTATAATATAAATGGGTGATATATTCTTTCAGTTGAATTTGTAAGTTCCAAGTTCTGTAGCGATATTAGTATTTTGCTAACGCATTGCATATATCCCTGGAGATCATGACTTTTTGCCCTGTTTGTGATGCAATGTATGGGATTCATAGCTGGGCTTGTCTTTCTTTCAGTCTTTGTGCAAGAATTTTTTCTGCCCTACTTCCTTGGACATAAATGTTAACCTTTAGCTTTTTTTAGTGGTATCTGGATTTCTGTTTATTAACCTCATTAATTAGATGCTGGATGACAGCTATTTGTGTGCGCAATGAAAGGGAAGTGGCTAACTGGTTTGCTCTGTTTAAGTTGTACAGCTTTTGGTGCCACTTCAGTGAACAAGAGTTTTCTACATTTTTCAAGTACACGGCTCATTTAATCAATATACCTTGAGCTACAGACTTATGAGCTGGCCATAGTATGTGGGATTTAATATATATAGCATCATTTGATTAAAAATAATAGGAGAGCTCCCCCTCTAGTCCATATGTGAATTCTGGGTTGCTAAGTAGGCTTTTATTTAATCTCCAAAGAATCCCACCTCTACCGTTGTATTAGTTGCTTAGTGTCAAGATCACTGGATTGTGGTCTGACCAAGGCGTTAAGCCAACTTGGCAGTTGAGTATTAAATGTAATTGGGGACTATACATCAAGAACCTAATCGGGAGTAAGAATTATGAACTTGGGCGTAATAGGTATAATCTTTTTATTGAGGGTGCATAATATACCACATATCATATATGCTTTGTCCTGCTTATAGTTTAACTGGGGCTCTACTTTGATATTTAAGTCATTTAAAACGTGAAGTGGTGGGGGGAAATAGTAGAATCAGCTACCAGGCCTAGGACGTGATTAAAATTATAGTAACATTATGAAATGTTGGATGTAAGTGTGACAGAACCCTCTGTCTGGTTATTGTGGTGGATTCGTCTGTTTCTGCCCCGTTCGTGTAAATGGCTGTTTTCTATAGCCCAGCCATACGAATGACTGTTTTTCCCAAACAAACCTACTGAACGGACGGCCACCCAGGAGAAGAAGTGTGCTGCTGGTTAATCTAATGATCCCAATTAGAACGTTGTGGTTAACCGCAGACACTTCTCAGTTAAACCGAATTCAGGGTGGTCGTCGTTCGTATGTCGACCACGAGGCAGCGGCCATTTTAAACCACGCGAAAGCCCAGCGGTGTTCGGCTCTATTTTCATGGAACTAAAAACGGACACTTTTTATGCCGAACACCGCTGAAACAACGGAACGCCTGGCTGCCTCCGCGAAAGCGTACGAACACCGGCCGTTTGGGAGTTTTTAAACACACGAAAGGACTTAATCCAGATAGCCTTCCCATGGAGTCAATCGCATACCGAAAGACTGTAAGAACTTTGACTTCATGGCGATTGAACTATGTGTGTGGGATCTGAGCGCTATTCGCCAATAATATGCACTCAGATCCAGGTTATCTGGGGATATGTGATGCGAATGGGAAATGTTCGGTTATTTTAATGTTATGTATTTTTATGTATTTTCTAGTATTGTTTTTAAGATGGCGATTTGTCTTTGTCCTGGAGATAATTGAATTACTTCTCAATTATCTCCAGGGCAGAGAGGAGGAAACCATATTGCATTGTGGGAAAAGCCTGCGATTGTATGTCTAAACTGTCCCCATGTCCATCTGTAATTTCAGTCTCCCATTTGGTCCCCTAGGGGAGTGCCCACCAAGTGGGAGACCTGCATAAATACGGGCAGGTAGCCAACAGTAAAGCCAGATCCTGTTTGACCCTCAATGCGGAGCTTCTGTCTCGTTATTGGGGGGATTTCTACTTCACGTTTAGAGACTGCTGGATGGAACCGAAAGCCGCTTGGTGGATATCGTTGTTCGGCGGCTAGCAGCAGTTCGTGGATTTCCGTTCGTGAGTTTTGAGCCTTTCATGGATCCCAGTCGGGAGATTAATGCTTCCCCTGGTTATGGTTCGTGTATTACAATTGATGCGAACGGATTACTGAATTTGCGAAAGGGGAAGGTGAACTAAATGGCGGTTTCTCTTAAAGACACCAGGGGGTGTCTTAACAGTAAGTTATGTCTGTCAGTATACTTTCTAAATCTTATTATTGATTGAACCAATCAGGATCAAATACCTGCCTTGTGGATCTTCCATTTTGTATATTAATGAGGAGAATAGCTACTTACTTTTGAGAATGGAGACACCTTTAGTTTTATTTGTGGCAGTGGCGTGGAATTGAAATTGGTATGTTCAAGGCTGGCAGTGATTTCTCTAGATATGTGGTTCCTGTAGGCAGGTGCTTGCACTTTTTTAAGTTCCTTCATCAATGAATATATTTTGAATGTGGTAATTAAATTTCTGATGTTGTGGGAATATATCTTCATTTATGGAAATGTGGATAAGATGGTCTGTACTGTGTATGACAGAATATGCTTGCTCTGTGTGTAGTAGAGAACAAATTCTAGCTACTAAAGGGGGTAAGGGGCATAAATGGCTAAAGTGGTGTACCACCAACTACATTGTGCCCCCATGGGAATTTTGCAGTATCATAATATCAGTATGGGTATGTTATATTGTTATAGCTGCCCCATGAATTTGGCTTGAATTGAGGGCATTTAATGGAAGTGTAGTTCATTAAATTAATAACATTTAAAAATTCCCTTTTATTTTCTTTCTGCTGATTCTTCCTCTTTTTTCCTTCTCTTTTTTCTTTGTCTGAAGGTGTCCAATGCTGTTAAAATCTGTAGTTGCTCTAAAAAAAATGAGCAATTTATGTACCTAAATCAAATTAAACATTAGTAAGAAAATTGTCCATTCTGGTAAACACTGCATAAGAGTTATCCCCCATGATGTCATGCATGCTAAAAAAATTGTCCATTCTGGTAAACACTGCATAAGAGTTATCCCCCATGATATATATATATATATATATATATATATATATATATATAATCTTTAAACATTGACATGAGCATATTTGCAGTAATCCCCCATAATAGGACACAATGAATCCTTAGGACTACTGTAATCTCCTTGATTGCTTTGCGTTTCCTTACAGTGTCCTTGGATAAATCCGTGTAGACAGCCAACTCTTTGTAAGTGTCTGGTAAGTTTCTTTTGACCCTGCTAGATTGTAGAACTGTGTCTTTCATGTTGTAATTGTGGATTAACACTATCACATCTCTGAGTACTCATTGGGGTAGGTTGGTTGGTTTTGCAACCCCCTGGTACCAATTGACCAGTAACTTGTCCGCCAGGATACCTGTGCTGTGGGCT